CAATAAAGTGATTGACACAAGCAGTATCTTTCCAAAACAAAATATATTTTTATTAATGTCACTAAATCCCTCACAGTGTAATCTAAAAGCATAGATTAGAGTAGACACACATGCCCTGTTGCAAATTAGAGCATTCAGATCACAGTAGCATACAGCTTGATTCTAAATGACACACTCTGCCACAGATGGCCAGTGTTTGACAGATCACTGACAGCAATTCTTACCTTATACTTTAAGTAATACATAGGAAAATTATAATTTGTCCTCTTCAGCATATGGAGGAAATACAGAATCTATTTATTTTGAGGCTTTATTGTCTCCCACTGTATTAGTGTATATAGTATTTCTGCAAGCTGTAATGTAAAAACCACAAATATAATTTATGAAAATGCAGAAATTGAAAGGTCGAACAAGAGCACACTGTTTGTATTCTGCTTTTTTCTGTACAACTTATTCTACATAATTAAATGCCTGAACAATGAAAGGGTGAAAATGTACTACAATACTTCTACTTATCTATAATGTTTCATGTAAAAATAGCATATACTTGTATTTTTTATTTATTTATTTATTTATTGACATATTTTTAATTTGTTTCTTTGGAAACCTTTAAAGAAGTAGAGTTCCAGACAAATGTTTTACACTGTTTATTTCTAAAGGAAGAAAAAAAGTATCCTCACCAACAAAACAACCCTTCATTTAATTTATAGTAGAAACCACAAATAGGAAGTTTTGGTTACTAGTTCAGCATCCCAGACTTAATCATTCCAAGAGCATTGAAGGAGAAAAGTTACAATTAGCTAAATAAATGTTCAAAATCAATATGATTAAAATGTAAATATTGTTGAGGTTAAGCATGATTTTTATTCTTATGCATATATTGAAAGTTCTGTAGTACTTATTATCTGTTCCGGAACTTGCTTAGTTGTCCAGTGGCCTTATGGGTAGAGCTGGTTCATATCATTCACTGTATCTGTTGTATTGATTATATTTAATCTGCACTGGGAATACTTGTTGGAATTGTTGATATTTAATGTATGGGTCAAGTCAAGGACAATAGTGACTAAATAATAACTTTGGGATATAAGTATGTTGGAAATGAAAGCTTCTGTTGAATGGGATGTTATTCATAATGAGTAGTGGGATGGTATTTATTCTTATTTCATACTGCTGGCTGCCCAAAGGTGTAGCTTGACATTTTAGTTTAACTTTGCATAAGCTATCTTGTAATCATGCAGATTTTAATGCCCCTCCCCATCTTGGGGGAGGGAAGAGATGGAGATTAGTTCAACCATCTGGGGTCAAGCTCCTCCTTGTGTCCCAAAGTGCATTTGGGGGGTCTACCTCAGGAATGGGGAGAAGCTTCTCTGCCTCCCATTGGCCAGCCAGAAGGGGATTAAGGGAGCTGATAGGCTGTCATGCTCTCCCTGAATTTACAGACTCCTCAAGCATTCCTGGGCCACCCTTCCTCCTTATAGTTAAAGTATATTGAGCTATGTTTCCAGGATGTGGTGGGTCTGACTAATTGCCTATTTGGAGAATTAGGAAGGATTTTTTCCCATGGGCCAAATTAGCAGGGTTCTGGGGAGTTTGTCAGCTTCTTTCCAGCATCATGAGGTTGAGGTTTAAAGGACTGAGAAATGTAATTTAATGCCAGGGGGTGGATAGGAATGTTTGTCTCAACTTACAGCCAGTGTTCAATGCAGATAAAGACTTAAAGGACCAGTTCCTACAGGTAAATGAGACCCAAGATCTGGTTGGTGGATTTCTTGCTGTGAGGAGAAGGGGAGACCTGAAATCCTCGCAGACTGAGATATTTCTTAGTATTTACAAGAGGGAGGGAGAAAGAATTCACAAGTGAGATGAGTCCTGGGGGTTGGGGTAGACCCATTTCAGCCTTAGTTACTGGTTATATGGTGTGAGCCCTGTATCCCTGCTCTGTACCTAGCTAAATGCCTGGTATATATGAGAGGTTCGGTGTTGAATTAATGAAGTTACAGCTTAATTCCATCCCTTTTCTATCTTTCATTGACCTGTGTGTTCCCTGATGAATGAACATTTTTGCTATTGCATATTTCTCACTACATACTTTATAGATAAATAGAAAACAAATGAAACTTATAAAAAACCTAGACTTATTTTATTTAAGGTCACACATCACCAAATTGTTTTCAATTAGAAGGTGGTGAACATTTGAAAACTAAGGCCTGAACATGCTCACTAGAAAATATTATTACATCAGTACCAGTTATAGATGTATGTCTATACTTGAAGGCAGATGCAAATGCCTTTCATCAGCTGATCTTTTAAAATCCTATAAAGGAAACAGAAGGATATGCTAAATTCAAGAAGCTTAATGTAATCACAACAAGAGATGGTGGATTTTGTAAGAGCAACAAGCTACTTACCAATAGCTCTGGGCTAAGGAGATTAGCACAGTTCCACAAATTGTTGCAAAATGTGAATTTACTGCAAGCCAAAAAAATTCCTGATATTGCCTTAATTCCTTAAAAACCTGAAGGAAACAATCTGCAGACGTGTTAATTTAATATTAACTTATGGTTGTGAGGTCAAGAACTCAAATGACAGACCAACAAATTAAGATTTCTGTAACCTTTTCAAAGACCTTGTATAGGATTTTCTACTTACTTTGATGTAAACTTTCATGCATTATTAATGTGACTAAATCAATATTGTTGGAAAAATCTTCACCATTGGAATTTCCTGACTTTGAAAGCTTGATGACTCAATATTAAAGTTGCTAGTGTATATGCGAGTTTTAATAGTTATCTAGGACACATTATATGCATGCTTCAAAACAGAAGACCGCCTAATCATTAGAAATAAATGGCTTGAAATGACAAGATCTCATGCAAGATCTTATGATTTTGCCACAACCATTGGCCTGGAGCGGCGAACTGTGGCCAGTGGGGGCCGCAATCGGCCGAACCTGCGGACGCGTCAGGTACACAAACCGGCCCGGACTGCCAGGGGCTTTCCCTGAACAAGTGGCGGACTGGCTTTGAGAAGCACTGGACTAGAGGATAAGCTTGCATAATGTTATGGGGAATCAAAAAGGTAACTGAGGTGTGAAACAATTTGCATGGCTGCCGAGAGGGGGTGCCAGGGAGGAGGCCATGTGTTTACACTGATAATGAGCCAAATTATTCTTGGTTGTACTAGTGCCGTTTCCTGCAATGGGATCCCCTTGTGAGGATCGTTTTGCTCATTCAGCATCCCATTGACGTCAGTTGGCTTGCACAGGTGTAGCTAAGGTGCTTATTCTTCAAAGATTTATGCATGTACTTAACTTCATATGTTTGAATAGTCCCAATAAAGTTGTTGGACTGCATGTGCATAAAATTAAGCACATGTCAATGTCTTTTCAGCATCAGGGACAAATAAATAGAATTTGTCCTAATTTCTTATGGAGCTTTAGTTATTAGATGCTGTTAAGATGAAATATCAATGCTATAGAAACACATTTTAACACAAGATAGAATTAAAATCAGAGTTACTATTTGTAGTTTTAGTTTAAAAAAACAATAGTATATACTTCTAATTATCTTTGAAACCTTATTTAGAGGTTAAAAAACTTGCTTGTTACCAAAACCCCTTTATTAACTATTATGATTTTGTCCTAAACATAAACTTTTGTGGTGTATGAAGCATGAAATATTGGTAAGAATTGGTGTTCACAATTAAGTGGCATTAAATAGGATACTAGAAACTTCTATTTGAAGTAGGGTGATCAGATAGCAAGTGTGAAAAATCGGGACAGGTGTGGGGGGTAATAGGAGCCCATATAAAAAAGCCCGAAATATCGGGACTGTCCCAATAAAATTGTCACATCTGGTCACCCTAATATGAAGAGACCTAGAACAGTACTTTCATTGGAAAAGTGTCAAAAGTCTAAACAGATAATATAAATACATATTTACAAATTAAAGATTATTTTAGCCCACTAAAACAATTTACTTTTGAAGAACATTTATTTTGATTAAACCCCCAATCCATGAAAGCACTCAGGCCTGGATTTAGCATGCTACTTCACATACCTAACTTTAAGCATGGGAGAGGTCCCATTGTCTTCAGCAGAGCTCATGTTCTTGAAATTAACCATGTGCTTAACTGCTATGTGGAATTGGGGCCTAATGGTCTGATTTTGAAAATATCTAATAGTAGAAGTATTTCTCACTACTGTTTAACCTAGTCAGTGAAGAACTGGTAGAAGGGTGTGTAATCTGGGGGCTAAGGATAGAGGGAAAACTCTCCCCATTCCCAACATAAAGTCTTGTGCATTTTTTAAAGAATATAAATAAATAAAATATAATTTTTTAAACTATGAAATAACTTTTTTTTTCCCCACACCCAAGCCCTTTCATGCCAAAAATGGACAGCTGAAGTAATAAGAGAAAATCTGTTCTCATGTTTACTTGCCGGGCTTGGAAACGTGAATATTAAAATCCGTGCTTTCACAAAATTTCTGTCCCACTTTTGTGGATTAAAGAGATGAGTAGCTCCTCAGCAGTTTGTATCAATAAATCAATGGCTCTACTCCCATTTATATCAGCTGAGGCTTTGGCCCTAGACTGAGTGGGTTTTGTTTTTGTTTTGTTTTGTTTTCCTCGTGAATACAGTTGATAAGATTATGTGTTTGTCAACACAGTTAAAGGCATTGTTTTCTATCTAATGCTGCTTGAAAGGGTTAAGGTTTGTTTTTAATTTTATTGAAGTTTTTATTTGGACAGTAACTTAATTTTTTTCCATGATCCCTAAGTGGCACATTTTAGCTCTTTCTAAGACAATGTCTGTATTAAAACATAATTTTCATTTGCCCTGCACTTGTGGTTCTTGATTCATGAAAAGAAACTAAAATGTGGACATTATGGTGTTATATTTCTTATTTATGGGTATGAGAAGGTTCTTATTAGCTGTTACAATAAACGTTGAATTGCATTTTAAATTAACATCTTCTTGTTTTTGTGACTTTTTAACAGGCAGTAACTTCAAGCTGTCGTGAATATAGTATCTGCTGCAAGGAAATAACAGTAAGTGTTTATTTTATAACTTTTAAAAAAAAGTGATTTCACTGGTTGAGATTCCATTATTCTATAAATGTGGTGTGGATTGAACTTAATAATGATTATAGCTTGCCAAATAACAGGCTTAAGTGGAATTATCTAATCAAAGATGATCACTCTGAGATTAGTACAGCAATATGCAGAATATAAAAAGCATGGATACATAACCACCCTTTTTGTGTAAGGTGAACAGCTGGCCTGTCTGTCTCTCCTCTATAGATATTGGGATGTCAGCCATTTGCACTCTCCGACCTAACTTTCAAGCCCTTTGTCTTTTAAGGGTGTGACACAAAGAAAACATCTGACATAATGGGTATCCCTTATCAAAACACTGTTTTGTTTATAACATGCTTCTATAGAAACTTTTAGTACTTTGATGGGATCTTTTCCTTGGATATCCACAGACGTGGATATGCTGAGTACAGGTCACTTGGAGGTTAAGAATCAATGCTCTGGTCCTTAGAATTCAAACACATTTATTACTAATGTCCTCATAAGGATTCTGTAGGAATATTTAATATGTAAATTAATTTAATTTTCCACAAAAGTTTAAAAAAGTTAATATTTACTAACAAGTGCATTCTAAAAGACTATTATGACTACCTTGCTATGGCCAATCTTGTAAGTCTGCAGAAAGAGGGTTTTTTTCCTTTGGAATTTTAGTGGGTCAACTGAAGGTCACTTAATGATCAGGATAAAATAAATCCGAAATCAAGATTGTAACTTGTATTCACTGTTTTGATTTAAAATGCATTGAGCAAATGTCATCCCTGAACCGGTTTCGAACAGAACAGAGCAATTTTACGGCCAATCTTTTCAAATGGGGTTTCTCTAATGACCTGCGATGTAGATGCAGTCAACTTCAGACTATGTTGCATATCCTTGAAAAGTGCCCACTGAATGACTTTGGCAGTGGGCTACCAGCTCTTCACCTGGCTGATGATCGTGCTATCAAATGGCTGAGCATACTGCGCATACACTGAAAGAGGTAGTGTAGGGGATTGAGAGAAGTTCTTTTATTGGCTTCTCCACTGATTTGCTGCATGATTATTATTTTGTGGGGGGGGGGGGGGGAGGAGAAGGGAGGAGGACAGGATTTGGTAGCCTTTGTCTCCTCATCTGTAAACTGGGAAAAATATCTATATCACAGATGTCTTTGAGATCTGTAGATTAACGGTGAATAAGTAGAAAGGAATTAGCGTTTCTATAGATACAGCCATTAATGTGACCATGCTTCCTCATGGTTGGCTCTGTGCTGGATAACTGTATAAGTTGTGGGCTTCTGTAGCAGGTGCTTTTTCCTACATCAGGGCTTAATCTTCCACAGAACTAGGATCTACTGTTGATGGTGTTTGCACAGTTCAGAAGGCTACTGGTGTTTTTGTCTAGGTCTAAAACCTAAGAACCCAGAGTATTAATGAGAAGAACAGCCGTAAAACTGTGGTAACCTACAATACAACTAGTAACTATCAGCTCTCATTTGCTATCTCAGTGTTCACCTCTGACTGGCCCAAGATGCCAGCCTCCAATGCTCACTTGTTACATTTTTGAACAAGCACTTTTCTACCATTCTGCCCTATGCACTTGAAAGTTGCTTCCCACAAAGGCTTGCAAAGCAACCTCATTATACACTTTCAAAACTCTCCTTTGCCAACAGAAACTTGACAATGGGTAAGACTGCTGGTGAGTGAGACCACTGCCCATTATGCTGATTAATAATGCTTCCTTTTTTTACTTGCACTTCCCCATCTGTCTGTCATCTCTTCTCTAGACTGTAAGCTCTTTGGGGTGGAAACCATCATTTTGTTCTGTTTATACTGTGCTTACTATAATGGGGTCCTGGGCCAGGGCTAGCATTCCTCAGTGTTAAGATCATTCAAATAATAATAATGTGTACAGTCTCATTCACATAGATAAGAGAAATGTATGTGCAGTAGTAAATGAAATAAAGACCATTTGTATCCTACGAATCAACCGAGTACAAAAACTTGTCTAAGCTGTGTAATAATTGATTCATTTCTTTGCTAAAAAGCATCATTGTTAACACGGATTCAAAATGGTTATAATGGTCTGGGATCCATAATTTCAAGGCTAACTTGCACAAATGAGGGTCATAACTAAAAGCTCTCCAGCTACCAGAGTACCCATTAAACTGCAAGAACAGCCAAAAAGCCTTGGGGGAAGATAAAGTAGGAAATGGAAATAGGAAAGAATACTCTTAAAGTATCACTTTTCATAAATATCTGAATTTTAGTAACGTCTTATTTTTTGTTTCATTACCTTCATGTGTAACTTGATGATTGTAACCGTGGTATCCATTTCCTCTAAGAGGTTGCTGGCTTGATATTTTTGGTATCTAATGGGATACAATGCTTGTGCTTTAACCAAAAAAAAAAAAATCTGTTCACTGTTTCTCAATAAAATGTATTATCAGCTTACGTGGCTTAACTGAAGTTCAGGTTCTAATAGGGCTAAAATTCTTGGCTAGTTCTCCTGGCTTGTTCAATGCAAATATTGGGCTTAGATGCAGTAAGCCCAACAGTAGGGACTGTATTGAGTCATTCACGGAATACTGACTTTGGAATATGATAGCTCCAGGAATAACTTCCTGGGATCAAAAAAAATCGGCATTTTCCAAACATTGATATTCTGATAAACTACTATCCCGGAGGTGATATTCAGGCTAATGTGAGAGATAGGAAGGGAAGTGGTTTGCAATCACCTGTAGACAATCAAATCTCCTTCTAATTATCAGAAGTACAATGAGTCCAAAAGTGGCAAGATAGACTAAATATAGAAATAATGGGAAGTAGTGATCATGTGGCATTGTTTCTGGATCTGATGAAGAAATATGGAATTGAACTTAATTCCCCTTCTTATCCAGGTGTTTTGCTCCTGGACAGTTACTGTAGCTTTAGTAGGATGTTGCAGAAGAGAAAATAGCTATCTCCTTTTAACTGGGTATGTAGATAAATAGTAGTTTTAAGTTTTGAATTTTGCCATTCCCAAACTTATGTTAAACATGTTTTTTTAAGTATAAATGAACACATTATGATACAACACAAAGCACTGACTAAGTGAGTAGTAGCCCATTGCTGTGGGGATAACTGTATATTGTACCATCAGCATCCATTGCTGGCTATGTCACGTGGCACATCAAACTCTTTGTATTTTGTATTAAATTAACATTAATTTCACATATCTTCCCTCCTCATGGTGATTGGCTCAAATTAAACTTTACACTAGTGAGCCTGAGGTGAGGAATGTCACCGCAGAACAGAAATACAGGATTTTCTGATGTAAATATGTTCTCATTATTACTCCCCTCCTGGAAGATTGCCATTATAAAGTATCAGGTATGGGAATGTTGCTACAGCATCTGCTAGTGATCATTTCTGATGCTCTACCATCAGTCCCATATTTGTCTCCTTTCTGTCCCAATATTGGGCTAGATTGTGAGTTCACAATCTGCCCTAAGTACAGGTTAGTGCTGCTTCTGGAGCAGCCCAAGAGGAAGACTGACTCTCCAAATCAGTTTCCCTTCAGTCTCCATGCTGCTCCAGGAAGGGAATACACTGTGTGATAGGTCTATATCTGATGCAACATACATTGCCCAGTGTGCTACACAGCTACACTACTGGCCACGTGAAAGAAAATTGGCTCCACCCATTCCTCTTCCCTTCCCTTCCTATCCATTATCCTGAGGAGCAGATATGGCAGCTCTGCAGAGACTGCTTCACCTGTCTTGCTGCTACCAATGCTGTGGTAGCTGGTGCAGGGGCATAAGGGATCACCACTGTGCTAAATTTGATCCATTTTTATTGTTTAATAACACTGCTCTACAGCCAAAATGCTTCTGAAATAAATGTAGTCAAACTTTACTAATTCTGGGTCACTGAGAATGAAAATGATGTTTAAAATTGTTGATTGCTT